AAAAGAAGCCCAAATTACCGGTACTAGTAATTTAACAGATATCAGCCCGAAAATGAATTTCGGAGACTTCTAAATCAATGTTTTGGAATATATATTATTTCAAAAGGCCATTACGATTGAGAACACGTAATATACTTTATTTTACCCGATAAAATAAAATATGATTAAAACAGTCCGAAAAATACAACTTTCGGGACCGATTGTACACCTCGGGGCATAAAGGGATGACCTCCCACATGAGTGGGGGCCATCCCACGTTTTTTTTCAGCTTAAATGTGACTCTTGGTGGCTGGCAAGACAAAGGAAGGGTGAGGAGTCTATCAAAGGTACAATGGGGGGGTCCATTCTCACATTATTTTGAGAGAAAAGCCAAAGAGGCTATCTCTTCACTCACCCACCCCATAATTTCGACCAAGGCACACCAAGAGAACAAGGAGACCTCTGCAAACTCATCTTCCATAGCCAAAATTCGAGCTCAAGCCATAGGGTTCCAAGAAGGAAGATTAAAGAAGGAAAAAGCTAGGAGAAAGTGTGAAAATTAAGGTAATGACCTTATTATAACTTTTCCTTTATTTTTCTTCTATCATATGAGGTATATATCATATGAAGGACCCTTAGTATGATTCCACATGTTATAAGTATGGATTTATGGGTTGGAAAATGGTTCTAAGTCCAAGAACGGACTTAGAAGCCAAAACGACCGGTTCACCGGAAAATAACCTTTTTTGAGGTTATTTGTATTAACATGGGTTTTATGATTATAAAACCTTGTTAGGAACTTGTGAAAGGTATTTCAAGTGATTTCACAAAGTTGGAAAAGTCGCCGGAGTTGTCGCCGGAGTTGGCCAAAAGTCGCCGGAGTTCCACCGGAGTTCAACCAAGAAGGGTAGAACTTCATAACGCTAGTTCAAGGTGAGTGGACGGCTTAATATCTTATAACTTTTGGGTTAATTATAAGATTACCTAAATAAATGTTATAAGTGTTCATAATGATGTTTAAAAGATATTTAAACACGTGATTAGCCAACATAGATAAGTTTGTATGAAAAGAATTAATTGTTTATACATGAAACATGATATGCACAAGAATTAATGATGATATGAGAAATAATATGAAATGCATATTTGTTGGGAATGTCAAAGAAGCACAAATGATTATTATTAACTTAATTATATGATGATTAAGTTGACATGTACAAGGCTTGAATGGCGGTCAACGACAACGTTGACCGATGGACAATGGATTAATTAATGTCGGTTGATATTAGTTAATTGTACATTTATATAATTGCATGGATTTGCATGAATTGTGATACATAAGTCTTATGTATTGAATTAGTTATGAGTGACTAAATATGATATAGACCCTATCTAGTGTGATATGTGGTAAGTCATAGGTCGGGTGGAGTACCCAAGGATCGGGCGGTTATCCTCAAAACTCGGTTATAGGGTGGAGAACCCAAGGATCGGGCGGTTATCCTCAAAACTCGGTTATATAGGGTGGAGTACCCAAGGATCGGGCGGTTATCCTCAAAACTCGGTTATATAGGGTGGAGTACCCAAGGATCGGGCGGTTATCCTCAAAACTCGGTTATATAGGGTGGAGTACCCAAGGATCGGGCGGTTATCCTCAAAACTCAGTTATAGGGTGGAGTACCCAAGGATCGGGCGTGTATCCTCAAAACTCATAGATTACATTTAATGATCTAGGACCGGGCGGTGTCCTCATGATAATTTATTTGAACAAGGAGGAGTTCTATACACTCATAGGTATATGGGTGGGTTGGGATTTAAGTCAAGGATATTGGCTACTATTATTTTCCCAAATAAACAATGACCTACGGGTCGGGTATTTCCAAGTGTATGTATACTAATATGTATTTCAAACTTGGGGGAAAGACTATACGTATATGTATCATCCTATGTTTGGGTCTTATACTTGAAACGCTAGTTATTCTATATTTAGCCTGCTACTCGCTCGGTACTTGTACTGACCCCTTCGGGGGGCCCCACCATTTTCAGGTTGAAGCTAGGGCTTGCTACCTGCACCTTTCTACGGGTGACATCAAATCAAGGAAGACGTGGTTCGTGCTTCCTCATTTCATTTCAAATTACCAAACACTGCTCATGGATATTTTTATTTGTCATAAACTATTCTTTTGGGGCTTGCATGCCCATGTTATTGGCCGGTTGTGGCTTATGACTACCGTTGAATACTTCCGCTATTCATTGGTTTAAATGTGATGTTGTTATGTATGTTTACTGCTGAGTATGGATGGATTATTTCTCTCGAACGCCTTGTGTAATCAAGTGAGGTTGACTCGCGGGTGACGTCACTTGATTATACGGCGGTTGTACACGCGCTTGGATTGCGGTCTGGGGCGTGACAAGGATAACCAAACTTGGTCTTTAGTTAGATTATCTACAGGCAAACACACTGTGGGTTATAAATGGGTTTATAAAGTCAAGTTCAAGCCTGATGGATCTGAAGTATGTTTAGTAGCCAAAGGTTTTGCACAGATTGAGGGTATTGACTTTTTTGAAATATACTCTCCTGTTGTCAAGTTGAGTACTCTCGGTTTACTATTATCCATAACATCCATCAACAATTGGTATCTTCAACAACTTGACATTGATAATGCATTCCTATATGGACTTTTAACTGAAGACGTCTATATGACTCCCCAACCAGGACTTCTATCATCCAAGTCTGATTTTGTATGTAAATTACACAAATCCTTATATGGTCTCAAACAAACAAGCAAACAATGGAACCAAAAATTAACTTGTGCCCTTATTCACATTGGGTACCACAAGAGGTCAACAAATTATTCTCTTTTCTTCAAACAATCTACTTCCAATGTTACATTCTTACTCATCTATGTAGATGATATCATCATCAGTGGAAATGATCTTAATGAGATCACACATGTCAAGAGATATTTGAATACTTGGTTTCATATTAAGGAGATAGGGAATCTAAAATACTTTCTTGGACTAGAAGTTGCACGTTTTAAGAAAGGATTAGTCATCAATCAAAGAAAGTACTGTTTAGAACTCATATATGAGTTTGGTCTCTCAAATTGCAGACCTGTTTCAACACCTAGGTCTGTCAATGGGTCGAGTCTATACCCGGACCGATCCGAATCCGACACTTTATTTGAGGGTATGGGTCTAAATTTAGAACCGTTTCCTGAATCCGGATTCGAACGTGTTACATCAAAGAGAAAATGGGTCGGATATGGATTTTAATGTTCCGACACGTTTTGGACCCGACTCGTGATGATATAATTATAGTTAAAAAAAATTACACACACGATATACATAGAAATATTTAAGCATAAAATAAGGAAAATAATCAAATATATAATATGTTTTCTATGTGATTTATATATTAGCCTTAGTTAGTGGTTGACCCACTATAATGGGATTTTTGCTAATGGGTCAGGATCTGGATCAAAATATTTTCAACGTATATGGAATTTATAGCTCCGGCCCGTATCCGACCTGTTGGCAGGCCTATCAACACCATTAGAGCCTTCAAACAAGCTTACTCCTAATTCCGGTACACCATTCAGAAATCCTACTTCATTTCACGGGTTTATTGGAAGACTAATATATCTTACCAATACCAGACTAGACATCTCATTTGCAGTCCAACACCTTAGTCAGTTTGTTTCTGATCCTATAGATGTACACTTCAATGCAACATTAAGAATTCTCAAATACTTGAAGACATCTTCCAATCTTGGACTATTTTACTCATCAAAAAGTACTCTCAACATTCAAGCCTTCTCTGATTCGGATTAAACCACTTGTCATACCACAAGAAAATCTATTACAGATTTTTGTATTTTTCTTGAGAGTTCCCTTATTTAATGGAAATCAAAGAAACAAAGCACCGTTTCTCAATCATCTTCTGAGGCAGAGTACAAATCTTCAACGTCATTAAACAGTGAATTACAACGGCTACAGTTTTTACTAAAAGACATGAACATCAAGACTTCACTTCCATTTTGTGTCTACAGTGATAGCCAATCAGCTATTCAGCTTGCTAAAAACCCATGCATCATTTCATGAACGAACGAAGCATGTTGAAGTAGATTTCCATTTAATTTCATAAGGATTAAAGTTGATGAAGGATTAATCAAGCTCTTCTTTGTTCCTTCAGAAAATCAAGTAGCAGATTCCTTCACCAAAGCTTTACATCCAGCTATGTTTCAACGTAGCGTCTCCAAGCTTGGTCTTCATTCCATTTACGATCCAGCCTGAGGGAGGGTATTAATGTATGCATGATACATGCAACCACATGCAAGCAATGTAGAGACGCATATAGCATAATATTCCTTATAACAGTTTGTTAGGCAAGTTTGTTAGATAGTTACATACGTTGACTTTGTTTACTTTTCAGATTGTATAAATAACTCTGTACTCCATTGTATTGATATGTGAAAAAAATATCTTCAATATTATCCTCTTCCGCCGTTCACATGCTAATACTAAGACGGACCCCTATGATCTAAATACTAGTACCGTGTTTTGGGTCTCGAAGCAGGACTCTTACATTGTGTGATCCTCATAGTTTTCACAAATGGATCTAAGTAACAATGAATTAAAAGTTTATAAGAATCCAATCATTCACAATCTTATGATTCCACAAAAACAAATGAAAATTTTAAAATTTATATGTCCATTTTTCTAAATTTAAAAATATCTATATTCGCTAAACTTTTAAAATTACAGTTAATTCCATACTCCTCAAAAATGATAAATGATAATTATAACTATCAAATGTGGAGAAGTATAAGATTATGAATATGTGGTGTGGTTCCAATGAGAACGATACCTAGCGTGTCAACGTGAAAACAATCACATTTAAATTAATGTTATACATAACGGAGCTCTTCTGTTGCACATGTTCAACCTTGCTCAAATTAAGTCTTATTAAATAAACACTGTGATATTTTGGTAAATATTACGACAACACAAAAAAGTACAATAGACAAGTTTTATTGTGCATCACATTAAGATAATTGTGATATTCTCACGTTAAACATTATTCTCATTTGATCCAAATTGTATAAATACAATTATTTGGGCACTAAAATAGTTAAATACTCTGTAAAAATTAAACTGAACAGAAGCTAGACTAGAAGAGAGACCAAAACAAAAACAAAAACCAAATAACACGCCATTTTAGCAAACGTTTTCCTCTACATCGAATCTTTGTAACCTTTCTCTAAGAGTGGATCTCTGCCCAACCCCCACTTGGTCCACCTATATAGCCCCTAGTCGGTGTTATCTTCACGGTTTCTAGCGATCGGAGCTGGACTCATCCTTCTGGTGAAGTCACGCTGTGCACCTGTTCCCTGAGATCTGGTAGTCTCTTCTTTCTTGTCTTCATGACAGCTGTAATTACATAACGTTTTTGAATTCCATTGCTGTTTCTTGTACCTTCTCAAATTTGCATTTTGTCCAAGTTGTTGTGATTAGAAATTTCGTATGATGAATCAATCAAGTCAACAGCCACACTCGTTTTCTTCATATTCTTTTTTTTTTTACTTGGGCGAGGTGAATGTCTGGGACTGATCTTGAATGTCAGTGACTTTAATTTAACAATATATAGGGAAATTTGGTGACCCTTTAGTTGTTTTCCTTAATCTTATTGAGTTATGGTTGATTAGATCAGTTAATTGCAAATCCTAAGAAGTGACATTTCTATTAAGAGCACTTTTAGGCTTCACCAAGCCAATTTTTAGGTCAATTGGACAACCTTAAGTAGTACTCCCTCCGTCCCATAATAATTGGCCAAATTTGAGTGGCACTAGGAATATGGAAATAAAAAGCGTGTGTTTCAGCCTCTCAGGTCTATGTAGGGGAAAGATAAATAAGACTAATGACAAAATTGTTTCTTCAAAAGGATGGAAAAGTTTTGTGGACATCCAATAGTGGGCGGGGGTACTTCTTAATACTCTATTTCACATTGGATAACCATTGTTGTTTCTGATTTGTGTTTTTGGTTGCTTATAGCATCTTTGTGAGTGTCCTATTGGACTCTAGTACACTACCAGCTGGAGCACGGGGCTAGTTTTGGAGGTGAGAAGAAGCTAATTCATTACCGAACAAAATTTTGCATGGTGAACAGATGAGAAGAAGAACTGATGTTATTAGCAATAGAAGGTGGGGGTCTTTTCTCTTCTTCAGCTTCTGGGTATAGCTCATGCATATCCCTTCTTCTGTTGGGCCAGAATAGTGAAGAGAAGCCCATCAAAGTTACCCCGTGGACCCAATACCAATTGGCGAATCACGGAAAAACTGATACTCATCTTGCACTGGCTTCCAAGAAAAACAGAAAGCTTCTTCCGGGGTGTGCTCCCTTTATCTGTTTCGGTCGTGCTTCCTCTGGACTCGATAGCAGCCCTTCTTGCCTAAAGGTAGGTTCCACGCAACACCAAGAAGTATCACCAACAGGACCTGGACCAATATCTGAGAAGTGTGAGGACATTCATGCTGTTGTAGAGACAAACACATCAACTAAGCTTGTACTTAAGAGCAGCTTAAAGAGAGTGCCTAATGGCATAGATGTTCAAGTTGGTAGTGACAGTGATTGTAAGACATTAAGTGAAGGAAGCAATGACATCCCTGACGATAATACGCAAAGAAGGAAGGTCCATTGGACAGATACACACGGTGGAGAGCTTTTTGAGATCCGAGAGTTTGAAACTAGGTGCGTTTTGACAGTCTTGTTCTGTGCTGAAATACTAGTTAGCTTTCACCTTTTTTATTTTTTTGGCTTAGTATCTGATGAGCGAGGAATCAACTGTTTTAAATAACTAATACACCGGTTTGTATTTGGTCTAGCTTTAGTTAGTTACTGGAACCCTAATAAGATTTCTAAACTCAGAGGTTGTGTGTCATTATTTCTAGTTTTATATTTCTATGTGTTTCAATCAAATTTTCATGATTCAGCTGTGCCACCAATTCATCTGATTTAGTGCCCTGTGTCTTTTTGCTAACTGAGCTCTTTCAGCGTTTGAGATTTAGTTGCTATTAGCAAATGTTTTGTCCCTATAAAAGTATGCAACAGGAAAGGTTTATCTATTGCTTTGTGTATTCATGCTTATAACTTGAATGTGCTTAATCTATGAATTTGAATTTTAATGCACATGTTATGGCATGTCACCTCGTACGCAGTTTTACATCTTTTGTAACCCTCAAGCTAAAGGTTTATGATATATGTTGGGCAGGATTAGGGAATGTTTCAGAGAATGGTAAGATTATTCCAAAATTACCTCCAGGTGAATAAAGTAGGTGGAACCACTTGATGGTAAATTTGAAATAGATTTTATCATTATTTGAACCTTCCCCGAGTTGGCTCTGCCTGTATCACTATCCAAGTTATTATGGCAACCATTATGCCTGTATTGAACCTTCCCCGAGCTGGCATGTCACCTCATACGTAGTTTTAAATCTTTTGTAACCCTCAAGCTAAAGGTTTATGATATATGTTGGGCAGGATTAGGGAATGTTTTAGAGTGGTAAGATTATTCCAAAATTACCTCCAATTGAATAAAGTAGGTGGAACCAGTTGATGGTAAATTTGAAATAGACTTTATCATTATTTGAACCTTCCCTGAGCTGGCTTTCCCTGTATCACTATCCAAGTTATTATGGCAACCATTATGCCTGATATCATACTTTTTATAGTTCCTTTCTTTTTTTGTATGGATTACTAGTTTTTTTTTGTAATTATGCACGCTACCCTTGTTAGTGAACAATTTGTAAATATTTCCATCCTGATTCGTTGTTGGTGTTTGCAGTGATGAAGAATCAGATGACGACTGTGATAGCCGCAATGGTAAGACTTGCTCATGCAAGATTATGTAGTTTTTAAGCTTGTGGTCGTGGTGGTTTCGCCAGAGCTGTTTTGGAAGGTCAGACAGAGCACGCAGGCCCATGCATTAAAAGGTTGATTATCTATGCCCTTTGTTCAGCCATCATCACTTGATGTAGATGGAATTTGACTCCCACCACTGGGAAGGAAGTCTCAGAATGCATACAATGGCCATCCATTCAGAATGTTTTTTTGTTTGTCATCTGTTTTGTCTGTTGATATCCAGTTTCTTTAATGTCAAATTTAGCATTTCCAGAATATCATTGTTCTTTCATTGTTATTATTACATACGAAGTATATGTTTGTCATTTTTGCCTCCATTCTCGAGGTACTCATTTTCTACATGAAGAGATGAATCAATTTCTTTTCTTTTAGTAAGTGTTTGCAAGAGCTTTTTATAAGCAATATTCTGTTTCTTGTTTAAAAACTAGGAAAATGTTTTTTAAGTTGCTGCTTCTGCTTAAGCACTCGAAGTCTTGAACTAATAGTTGAAACTTGAAAGCAGCAGGAAGAGAGTGCTTAAAAGTTAAAACCGCTCCAAATACTTCAAATTTTACTTTTTAAGATTTGTATTTTCAAAAACTACCCATTTTTTGTTATACTTTTCATAGCCTTTAAAATACAGTAAATCTCTTCTAAGTAACGGGTGAAGATGAAGGATGTTTTTACTTGGACTGTAATTTGCCCCAGACCAGATCAGTTCAGATCAGACCAGACTTGGATAGTTATAAAAATACAAAGAAACCAGACCTTACCAGACCAGATCAGACCAGTTCAGACCAGACTAGACCAGACCAGCAAATTACAGTCCAAGTAAAAACATCCGAAAAGTTCTTGGTGATTCGGGATGACTATAAGTAAAACCGGTTAGGAAATCATTCTCTCCGGTTCACCTAACCTTGGTAGTTGGTGCCGTCCAAATGGCAGCAGACATTGGAACAATTATTATTCTCTTTATTATCATGCTTACTGAACATCAGAATGAATCTGTCTTTTATCGATGAACCGAACAATGGAATTTCAAATATTACTCACAGTCATACGTAGTACTACATCCGTCCCATATTTATCTTCATAGTTCGGTTTATGATGCTTGACTGACGATAAAGCAACTCTATCCCTGTTCACACTCGGATTATTTTTAATAAATAAAATTTACATATTCAGAAACTACATTAAAACCGCTACAAAGCCTGATCAAGAAAATTTAAGTTTGATAAAAATTTGATACATAAAGTAAAAGATTAAGAATAATTTAAGTTGACCATGTGAATAGTAACTATGAAGATAATTTAAGTAGTTCATAAATAAATTTATTACAACCACATTTTTGAATGAATCGGTAGATGAAATCTTAAAGCATAAGGTTGTACGAAAAATACTAGCAATTAAAAAAGTTGAAATTTGGTTCGACCTGAAAATGAATAATACCTATTCAATTCATAATACTCCCTTCGTCCCAAAAAATTATTCTCATATTAACTTGGCTCGCATAAAAGAAAATCACTCAACATGCTTAAACTACAAAAACTACTCGTAAGACACTTATTCATCACTTTCTCGAAAGACTCTTTTGCTTTGTTATTGAAATTAAGTTTATCGAATTCATAGTCAATAACCTTGACATTCCAACATTCTGAGTAAAACAAATCACCGCTACAACTTTATGTGGTTCTATAGGACTTTGTTATGTTTTTTTACAATTTTATACTCCGTACTTCGTAGTAATGTAGTATTGGACATTGATAATTATGTTCTTGAAAGACTTTTGTGCTTTTTGATTGAAATTACGTTTCTCAATTTAATAGTCAATAACCATGACATTCCAAGCATTTTGAGTGAAAATATGACTACTGCAACTTAATGTGACTCTGAGACTTTTTTTACATTTCTATAGAGTATAGAGTTGGTATTTCACTTGCAATGTGCGACTAATGACTTAATGAGGTAATACTCAAGGTCAAATTTGGGTCCATCATTCCCTAGAGGGCTAACCTCATCAGAAGCAAAGCTAGTCACAGTTTTTCCTAAAAAATCCCTCTAGGAGCCAACTCAGGTAAGGTTCCCCTTTTCCCGAATTCACGGCACATAATCCTGCATATGTTTCGCCTAATCCCACATAAGGTGCCTAGGACTGCCTACTTTATCAACCACCTGAAGCTTATCTAAAGCGTTGCTGGGACATGAAACCGATGAGCCATAATTGTAAATTACAGTTTTGTCAAAGAAAATACAGTTTGTGTGCCTTTTAGAGCTCAAAAGGCGTGTTGAAGTGAAGCTACAACAAATGAATGATTACAGCGATAGAATACACAAAACAATGAAAGTATTGCAGATGAACAACTCCGAGTATTGACAGCCAGCCTCATTCCAAGTCTAGTATTCCAAAATTTGAGAGAAGGATCTTCACTTGATCAACAAAGTCGGATCCAGTGGCATACTCCGTTAACATTCCTACAGCAAATCCAAACATTGCCCATCTGCGCATCCAAAGCATGATGTTATTGCATTTATGAGGATGTGCTTAGGAGTTAGAATACACGAAAACAACAAGAAGGCGAAAACTAAACCAGTCAATATATTAGATAATTGTGCACCACCAATTAGTAATGCTTTGTAGGGCTTTTTGTGTCATTGGAGATCTAAACTCATGTTTAGATTTTTCTAAAGACATTAATTTCCTAATATTAAAGGAGTTGCCTTTATTTAACCAAAATATCTGAAAAAAATGATGTAGAATTAAAATGACTTTGAGTTGTACTTTTGAATTTTGATCATATGTGATTTAGGATTATCAATTTGAACCATTTTTATGTTGTTGGAATGCAAACTTCAAGTTATACAAGTTTTACACCGAGATCACAGTTTCCAAATTTTATGCCCATGGGATTGGTCAGTCAAAATAATCCAGATGCCCACCATAAGAAAAGAAAAGATAGAGTTTATAGGTAAGTTGCAAAGCAAGCCATCCACCTAACACCTTGAAAAACATGTTATGATCTCTGAGGGATAGTTTTGTAATGTCCATTGTGCTGGGAGTGAGAGGGGTCAGCAAAGGAAGTGTTTTTTTTAAAGGAGCAAAGGAAGTGTTTATGAATGGAATACACTTGTTTTGAAGTTACAATCACATCAAATCAGGACCAAATAGAAGAGCATGAAAGTGCACACAAGCCACACATATAAGACGAATTAATCCCATGTTTGGTACATGGAATGTTTATTCCTTCCCATGTTTATTCCTAAGCCTAACATATTCCTATGTTTGATAAAGAATAGAAAATTCTCCTTGGGGAACATATTCCTTGTCCACATTATATGAATAAATACTTCATGCCAATTGGGAGAGCAGAGGGACAATGAATAGACAAAGTTACCATAATCGAGTGATGGTTGTGGTTTTTCCGAAGGCCTTGCTTACTTGGTTATTCCAATTCATTATATTCATATCAAGATAAGTACACAACTTAGAATCATTGTTTACTGGAAAATACCAATGACCTCTCTAAGGTTGACACTGCGTAATAACAGTTCCATCCTACTGTTTTTTAAAGACAAAAAAACTACTGCTAGATAACATTTTGAACTCACCATCCTTGACTTAATAATTCCAAACCTAATGGACAAAACATTATATTATATTGAAATCACATGTAACCTTAAGAAATACTAACATCGAATAATAAAAACAATAATAACATAACTACAAAAGTAAATAAAAGTTAAAATTTACTACTCTTTGTTAAATTATTCAGTTCAATTTGAATTGAGGTCAAATAAAAATTAAATAAATTTATCATTTTTACTCTTTGTGATTCCTATAGATGCATACATGCAAAATTTCAAACAAGCGAGAATATAATTTGATTATCAGTGAAAATTTGAATATAAATTATTTGTGTACTCATATGTTGTATACGACAGTATTAATTATTTGAAAATTTGAATATAACTATATTGATCAATGTTGAATTTAAAAATATTTTGTACTGTATTTTAGATAAGAACCAGATGACATGCACAGGCCTGAACATGTATGTAATTCAAAGCGTATATGCTAAAAAACATTGTATCATAAAAAAGGTTTACAAAGTAGAACTTTTTAAAACATTTTTGTATAGTTATTTACTTATTTTATTACCATCTCAGTCTTAATTTGTTTATCTCATTTTGGATTATGAGGGTTAGCCGAAGTTACAGTTAATTCTCCCCCAATAATATTTTAATGAATACTACTCCTTAATAATTAACATTTGTATATTTAATACTAAAATACGTCGCCTAATGAACTTCAAAAACTGAATTCAAATGTGAAAGTTAAGATATGAAAATTAAATAATATAAAAGAATCTGAGTGAGCGTATGAATAGGGAAAGAGAAACAAATTGGGGATGAAGGAAGTATTATATTTGACATTTTCATATTTCTATTTTACAATATATATTCGACTTTTTTTTTGGCAAACAATATATTTGACTATTAAATTCTAATGCTTTGTTAACAAGAGTAGTTCAGTATTTTAATAAGCCAATGATGATTAATCCTGACTTTTATAGACGGTTTTGGATTTTTGATATTTTCCTAAAGTTCATGAATGTAATTGCCTATTTTTATTAAAGTAGGGATGTACTTGATGTAATTCCAAATCTTGGAGAGGTCTTATATATTTTCCCATGTTTATTCTTCTCTTGTGGGGTTTTTAATTCCACTCCCTGGTTATTCTTTAGGACTCATTTTTATCTTATTTTACTATAACACAATTTATGGACAAAATATGACTACGCAGTCACAATCTTATTTTGCCATAGTAGTCAATGGCGAGATATGACGCGCACCACATGCACCATCGCCGTGAAAAAGTGGTCCTCGCCATGGCGCCATATGCACCATTCGTATATGCGCAATCGCCATGCACCATGAAAAATGCCTTTGAGCCATGGGGACGCCATTCGACATGACAACTATCATCAGTGCACTGTTAAATACTTCGTACTTATATTAAACATCAGTGTGGTCATTGTGGTCACTAACTCACTATAGTGTCAAAACTATAGTTGATTTTTACTGATAAATACTTAACGTAGAGTATTGTGGTCACTGATAAATACTTAAATTAAAGTAACACTATGATCTATGACTCTATGAGTGTCATATATTTGTTGATACTTTACTTATTTATTGTTCTTTTCAGCTAACAAACAATCAAAGTACAATTTTATCAAAACTATATGTAAACACTAGACCACCCTTCCATCATCTTAATTAAAATTACATTACTCCTTAGTTAAGGGACATTGAAGCTAATATAGACATATTTTAATCAAGCTTCTTCACTTCCTAATCCAAACTCTTCATAAAACTGTCCAATGCATACTTCTATGAAAGCTCAAATGAGAGAACTTTTGTGA